ATTTCCAGCATCTAGTAGCTGGCATCACAGGCATATAGTAGATACCTTTAAATATTTGTTGACTGCATTTATTTTTCCATATGGCCTTTTTAGCTAGATAGACCTGGATTGAAATCCCAACTCCAGTGCCTTCTAGCTACCTAAACTTAGGCAAGTTAACCACCCTGAATCATAACTTTCCCACCTATTAAAAATGGGGTTAGTAAGACTTAAACAATACCTATTTCACATGCTCGTACAGCAGCTTAGATGAGGCTTCATATGTAAGAACTAAGAACTCTGACTGCTGTGCCCAGCACATGGAGGTGTTTCTTTTCTCTTTGGTCTCCTTTTTTTGTGCTCTCTTTCTTACGGTTTCCTGTCAGTTAGCACACATCATGGTTTGCCACAAGGGGGCAACACTAAATGGAAATCAATATCTATATCTTGCCCCCCTTACACATTTCCTAAATTAAATCAATTAATAACTTTTTCTCCTCCCCTCACATATGTAGTTAATTGATGAGTGTTTCATCCTTAGATTTCTGTTCTTCTTTTCCTTCATCCTGTTCTTCAGAAATCTGTCATCTTAATAAAATCTAGATTTGGAAGGAACTTCAGAAGTCATGTTGTCATATAGAACAAATTCCACCCTCTGCAGTTATTTCTGCCCCGTGGCTGGTGGTCTTGACTTATTGTTCTGATGTCCCCTCTGTTAAGCTAACCCACAGCCCTGAATGTCTATGTTTCACTTCTTTCCCTCAGATAGCACCTCTTAATTATTCTAACTCTACCCCAAACTCAGCATAGAAAACCGAACTTATGTATATTTCTTCTAAAAAAAGATAACATTTCTGAGGTAGATAGGCTTAAATATCAGAATTGGCCGGGCATGGTGGTTCACACCTGTAATCCTAGAACTCTGGGAGGCTGAGGCAGGAGGATCACCTGAGCCCAGGAGTTTGAGGTTGCTGTGAGCTAGGCTAACGCCACGGCACTCTAGCCCGGGCAACAGAGTGAGACTCTGTCTAAATAAGTAAATAAGTAAATAAATAAATAGGCTTAAATATCAGAATTATGTTGGATTCCTACGTCATCAACAAAATTACACAGTATGTTTCCTTCATTTAATCTGACCATTGCCTATCTCTTCCCCAGTCTCATGTGTACTTTTCTCGTCCAAGCTCCTTCTTCTCATCTCTCAGCCATTAAACTTGTCGGTCTTCCAACCATTGCTCTTTAGTCCATTTATTGGATAATGAGCTCTTAGAATCCACAGACTCACACAATGTGGCTTATGTTCTGTGCTCTTCCTGTGAAAGACTAGCATTTCTTACCCCCAGACAAAGCGAAGTTTCTTTTTCAACCCAGGCTACATTTAGAATTTGTTTGTGTTTCATTACAACTGTGGAAAGGAAGCAGGGAGAGTTGTGTGCATTTGAGAGGGGCTCTGCAATTTGTGAGAGCATTTTTAGCTGCAAAAGACAATGTTACTAAGTCACGTAGGGCATTGTCACTAATGATGTTTACACTTGCCCGTCAGAGAATACAATGTCATATACCAACCAATCTTATGAGAAATAGTGATAGTAGGAGCATTGTGTAGGACAAAAATAAATAATAATAATGAGGCAGAATAAAGAATACTTGCTATCCAAGGGCTTAATCTGAACTTCCTTTTTCTGCTGGCAGAAGAATATTTTAGAAACTCCATTGATTCAAAAATTTATGTAGGTTCAAATGGTTTTAAATATATGTATATGGTTTTCATGTTTTCTTTGCTTCTCTTATTAATGACTGAATCATCTAAGTGAAATAAGACAGACACAAAAGGATAAATATTGTATAATTCCACTCATGTGAGGCACCTAAATTGTCAAATTCATAGACAGAAGTAGAATGGTGATTACCAGAGGATGGGAGGAGGGGGCAGTAGGGAGTCACTGTTTAATGGGTACAGAGCTTCAGATGGGGAAGATGAAAAAGATCTGGAAACGGATGGTGATGATGGTTGCACAACAATGCAAATGTACTCAATACCACTAAACTGTACACTTAAATATGGTTAAAATGGCAAATTTTATGTTACGTATATTCAACCACAATGAAAAATATTTAAAATTGAATCATGTGTTTTGCTCATTTGGGTTCAATATTGTTTTTCTCAACATGATGTAAGGTTGAACTCAAATGTTGCAAAACCTATTGTGAAGGAACATGCCGTTAAGAAAAGATAACACACAGATAGAATGCAAACAGTGACAAAGTCACTGCATCCTCACTTCAAAAGGGCTGAAGAGTATGTTCGATCTTTTTAGGTACACTTGCTGTTTGTTTAGTCGTCTCTTTCCAGGCTTAAATTTAGTTTCAGAATATCTGAGCCTAGAAGGCCTAAATCTACATAATTAATTGAAAAGTAATAATAACTTGACAGTAACAATTATTGAGTATATATTAAGCACCAGGCTTAAGTGCCAGACGTGATTCGGGTAAAAGAAAGAAGTTTTAGGCAGATCAAAAAATACAATATATTAGTTTACTATTCCCTACCACCTATTTGCTTTTAAAAATAAACAAAGACTGACACATCCCATTTCAGAATCAGGAAAACAAACAGACATTTCTCTGTGCCAGTAAGCATGAGAAAGAGTGTGTCAGCCTGTAATATTTGTGAAGCTCACCATGCAGCTGACAGTGTCATGTATTGTGAAGTGGAAATTTTTGGAAAAGCTACATTTCAATGTATTAAAATTTCCTATGAAAACGAGCTTGCAGGTATTGACAATCTTTTACTTAGAAAGTCTGTTCTCCTGGAAAGAATCTGGTTATTATGGCAGGGAGAATAATACATGAAAACAACAATTCAAAACTGACAGTAAGTTCCCCTCAAAGCAAAACCATTTCTGGTTTCTTTCAGGTAGCTGGGTTAATGTGGCATAAGAGAAAGCCTGACTAACAGGTATAATTAAAGTATGAATCATAGGAATAAATCATGAGTAACCCTGAAAACACCTACAAGAAATAAGTCCATTATAACATACTCAACTTGAAAGATAGGAGGAAAAATCTTTATTCTATATAAATGCCACGATGGGTCTGAGTGGAAACATATTGATAATGGCATCAGTGCATTATTGGTACAGCATGCCTGTGAGGCTCTGGAACATAGCATATTCTGCCTCATATTATATGGGCACCCATTCTCTACAGTTTTTTTTTTCTGAGAACGACCTGAGGTCAAGTACGATGCTTTGCTTTATTTATCTTTCTATATAAATCACTTCTCTGCCCAGATCCTAGTAATGTAGACAGTAGGCATAAAACATGTAATTACATACACGAATGGGTATTTGATAATCCATACCTTAGAATCTACAATAAATCTGCCCTGGCACATAGGACTTGAAAAGAAAGCTCAAAATTGACACCCAACATATTAAATGCTACTTATCAAAAGACTGTTGATGCATTTTTAAAGAATTAATCACAGAACTTTGATTTAATAAAAAACAGGAAGACATTATTATATTTTATCCTGTTTCATATCTCAGCAGTTGGCATTGGATTTAGTTGTTAGGAACAGCAATCTGGCAAAAGTTGAAAGGAAACTGTTTGGCCTGACTGGTTTTTTGTTTTTCAGGCAATGTGATGAGTAGATGTAAAATCACCTTATGTGAAAAACAGCCCACTGCTGTTTATATACTTCCATGAACTAACACACAGCATCATTGCCTCCCCCGCAACTAACCCCCCAATTGAGGAGTATTTAATTGACAGACACAAGTTCAACACTTGGAGTTAAAATGACTCTAACGGTGATTGGCCATTTTGCCAATATGTTGAGGAATAATGATATAAATATGGATGAAAGGTTTTTAAGTCTGATTTTCCTGGTCCAGAAGAATTGAAATCAACTCATCGAACATTCTGTTTACATGATCTTATCTGCCTTAGTTTTACATGCTATTTTTCATGTTTATGTATATTTTTAAAAAATTGAACTCTTGACAGCCCCTGAAACTTATTTGGGAAAAATGTAAAGCACTTTAATGGAATTTTTCCCATGATCTGTAGAAGAGTTTTTCAACAGATGGTTCAAATGGACAAACCAATGAAAACATAGACATTAAAAGCAGATCCTTAAGAAAAATAACTGAGTTCTCAGAAATCCTATAGATGATGTCAGGACGAGATGTAAAGCAGCAGTTTCTTTTACTGACAAGGTTTTAAGAGAACAGAAATTTATTAGGTGAACCTCTATCAGAGGAAGGGTAATGCCTCTTGGTAGGAATTAACTATTCATTTGAAACTTCAGCCCACTTTGATTTGAAAATCTCCCTCCTTGTAGGACAATTTCATCCAGGTGCCAAAAGCAGATACTAGTATTGTGATGCAAATACTCTACTAGAAGTTAGGAGCACCTAAGTCCAAGGTGTGTACGTGCAGGGTGGGGATGACTTAAAAAATCGTCCCACCTTCTCAGCAACTGGTGGGGAGGGGCAGTACACCTCAATGAAATCGGATCGATGAAATTGAGAGGAGGGGAAGAGACGGGACTTTTCAACATGGAATTTATACACGTTTAGTGGGGAAGTGTGAAGTATAATCTAAACTAACGCTAGACAGTAGCGTCTTCCATTCAGGTTTCAAAATATTCAAGCTTTAGGGAAAGTTAAAGTTGTTTTTTCTCCCAGACAATTCTAGGGAGTGGGTGGAGAGGAGGACTGGTAGGGGAGGTATGTTGGGAGTTTGAGACCCTTTCGTGGAGCGGAGGACCCCGAAGCATCACAACGGGCAAGCAGAACCGGGCGCCCGGGAGGGGACAGGGTTAACGCCCGCGTGAAGTCGGGAGCGCAATCGCGCGCTGCAGCGCGGGCAGCCCGGGAGCCGAGTGCGGGCCGGAGGGTGGGGGCACGAGGGTAAATGGGCGAAGGGGCGGGGTGGCTGGGGTGGGAGCGCGGCGGCGGGGAGGAGGGTCTCCGAGCCTGGGCCCGATTTGCAAGTTCTCTGAGGCTGCGTCCGCCGAGGGGGAGGGCTTTTCCCCGGCTGGGCGAGTTGTGCTGGGCGCTTCTGGCTCACAGCGCCAACGACTGTCAGGAGAGCTGCGGAGCGAACTGCCGGAAGTGTGCGCGCCGTGAGAGAAACTTGCCTGCTCCGGCCGCGGCCCGGAGCCTCGCCACCCCAGCGCTCGGAGCGACGATGCGCCCCGATGACAACAACCTGAGCGGACCCGCGCCTCGGCCAGCCGCCCGCGCCTGCGCTCGCCTGGCCTCGGGGGAGGAAGACTGAGCCCGGCGCAGGCGGCACGGCGCGCGGGGCCCGTTTCCTCTGCGCCGTCCCTTGCGTCCCGGCGCGTTCCCCGAGATCGCGCGTCCCCAGCGCCGGCCGCGGTCGCCGGCTGCTCCCGCCCTGACCGCCGGCCCGGACGTGTCCCCGGCCGCCGCTGGCTGTGCCTGTGCCATGGGGCTGCCCACGCTGGAGTTCAGCGATTCCTACTTGGACAGCCCGGATTTCAGGGAGCGCCTGCAGTGTCACGAGATTGAGCTGGAGCGAACCAACAAGTTCATCAAAGAGCTCATTAAGGACGGCTCTCTGCTCATTGGGGCGCTGAGGAGTAAGTGGGGCTGGCGGGGCAGAGGGCTTCGAGATCTGGAGAGTCGCGGCGGGGTGCGGATCCGAGGGGTGGGATGGGGCCGTCGGAGCTTCTTTTGTTTGAATGGGTTTGGGGACAAAAGCTGAAGAGCTCCCCTGCTGGTGGCCGACAAAGTTTGTTCTTAGGTGTTCTTTACTTATTTACTTCCATGTCTACAGGGGAGGGAAAGTTCTCTCTTGAACACTGGAGTTGATCCTGAGGAAAGTCGTTCAAAGTCATCTTTTTGTGTAACGCTCCTGGAAAGATGTTGGGGACTTTTTTCTTTTCTGTAAATTTATTGTGCCTAGTTTGAACACTTAAAAACCCTTAAGAAGGGACCAAGAGTTCGTCTTAAGGATAAAATTAAACTCGTTTATTTAGTGATATTCAGAGAAAATTATTAATTTTCTACGTACATCAGTAACTTGGGCACAGTCACTGAGTTGGCTTTTAATAAAAACATTCATTTGCAGTTTTGCAATTTCGTAAGATGATCGAAGACAGCATGGCACCTGTGGATTTTTAACTCTTTGCGAGTTTTCTGTGCCTCTTATGGTTTGCATTGTGTATAGTGTCGGGTGTGTTATTGGGATGAAAGTTCAAAGGCTAAAGGCCAATTAGAACTTCCAATGATCTACAGAATGTAAAGAAAACCCTTAGGGGCTTGTCCTACCTCCTTTCTCATACACCTCCTGACGGAATTTTCTTTTCTCCCTTTTTCATCCTCTGGTTCTTCACTTTCAATTACTAAGACCTAAAAGAATATCTGAAACTCAGGAGTTTCACATACGGAGAATTGAGTGAGACTAAATTATAGGGCTTAACTTGTTACCTTTCCCAGAATGTATTTGCATCTTTAAAAAATTTTATTTCCTTCCTCCCTTCCTACCTTCCTTCCTTCCTTCTTCCTTTCTCCCTCTCCCTCCCTCCCTCTCTCTCTCTCTCTCTCTCTCTCTCTCTCTCTCTGTCTTTTTTCCATCTGCATAGGAGGCTGCGAAAGTTATTTGCATCTTAATAGAGGCTTCTGCATGCTTTAGCTACTGAAATGCAGCCCTGGAATCCGGCGTCTTATAGCTGGGTGAATGAAGTATTTTCATAAGGTATAGAGGCCTTTGGATGATCTAGTTATCCACAGGACATATATGGGGCAGCACCTTTGTATATGTCAAGTGCAAGGTCAGCAACAACATGATAGGGATGCGTGTGTGCCAAAAACTGAGAAAACACTAGCATCTGATCTGTATTTTGAAATATATGTTAATACTGAGGATGGAGCATAGCAAAATGAAATTAGCGTGCTCTAAAATATATTTTAGCCATCACAAATACTAAAACATTTACTTAGCCACTTGTGTTATCTAACTAGAGTAAAGAAAATGTTTTATGCCCATATTCACGTAATTCCTGAGTTTGAGGCTACTATTAACAATGGTATTTACTGTGATTTGTGAAAAATAGGATTTATCCGCAGTTCTTTCCACCTGTGTATACACAAATGCAAACTCTCCTTTCTTCTGGTTTGAAAATCCTGGTTGAGGTCTCAGGGTGGACCTCTTTGCATCCTAGAGAGCAAGATGCCTCTTCAAGAAGAGCTTCTGCATCTCAAAGTGCTCAATGCCAAGCCAATTCTTGCTGGAGCTGCCAAATGTAGTACATTTTTCATTCCACTCTGTCTGGGATCAACTTTAGTGTTTCAGAAGTCGAAAATACTTACATAACTGTGATAAATGCTCTGACATATATATTATTTTACGAGTGATATTACATAGTTTATTATGATTCTTGCATCTAGCCTTGTATAAATCAGGTGATTCCCACCCTTATAGGTTTGTTCTTCCATTCGTAAGCGAAGAAATCTTGTAAGATCCTTGAAGATAAAAGCCCTGCATTATTAATTTGGCCTTATGCACTTAAGTATACAACGTGCTTTCTTTTTTTTTTTTTTTTTCGTTATTCCCCCACCCACAACAATCTGCTGTCTTTCTAGGATTCTTCAGTTTGTGGTGAGAGTGTATTACTTTAACATTTGATTATTGCTTCTTTCATTGTGGAAGGGAAATGTTTTATTCCTTGGTGAAGGAATTCCCAACAGCAGCTGCCAAATGGGAGAGGTTTTAGAGCAAAGGGACCCTTGAAAGTGACATGAAAGCACCTCTTTTCCTACCAAGCTACCTTCTGTCCCCTGGGGAGGATGCTCTGAGGACAGGCTGCAATTGCTTGGGTAGGAGAAGTGTGTCTAAAGGACTTGAAGCCTGCTTAGTTTTATCGCTGGCTGCCCCGACCCTGACTGCTCTGCCAGCCCCATGGTAGTGCTTGTGCCATGGGACTGCACACTCCACTAAGGGAGACCTCCGCCCCTAGTCCTGTCCCTCTTGACTGTTCTTTTCTGCCTGAGGAGGCCTTCACCTTCCCTAACTGTCTACCAGTGATTTCAATAGCCATATCCATTACCCATTTCAGTTTTATTTTAGTTATTTCCATTAATAATTAATGAATTCTTAATGTAATCTTGCTTAGCTGACAATCATCAATGTATTTCTAAGCATCTTATATTATTTTTATCCTTGGTAACTTTCCTGATGAGGGTTTTCGCCTGCACTCTTAGTTGATACATGCCTGATTGTCTAATAAGAATCACACATGCTCCTTGATCTATGGGTCAAGATGTAGTTTCTTTCTTTCTTTGTTTTTTTTTTTTTCCTGTCGCCCAGGCTAGAGTATAGTGGAACAATCACAGCTCATTGCTACCTCCAAATCCTGGGTTCAAGCAATCCTCCTGACTCAGCCTCCTCAGCAGCTAGGACTGTAGGAGCGTGTTACCATGCCCAGCTAATTTTTTAAAAAAAATTTTTTGTAGAGACACGAGTCTCGCTATGTTACCCAGGCTAGTCTTGAACTCCTGGCCTCAGGTGATCCTGCCGTCATCTCCACTTCCTAAAGCGCTGGGATTACAGGTGTGAGCCCCTGTGCCTGACTAAGATATATAGTTTCTTTAGTAGACTATTTGGAAGGGTCTTTTCAATTGAACTAGATGATTTCAATTTTAAATAATACAGGGAAGATACTTACCATTTACAAAATACATTATTTTTCATATTTATATCCATTCTGAGAAAAAAGATGGTAGTTAATTAAGTGTATGGACCTAGACTTGTGTTTGAATTTTGGTGTTATCAAGTGCAGTGTTATATAGTTGGCAAGTAAGTTTACTTCTCTGACTCCTAACTTTCCTGTAAAATAAGGAAAAATCTGTAAAAAACTATTAGGATTATTTGTTCATTTTTTTAAATGCCATATAGACATTTGACCAGTGATATTTCAGAATATTCTTGATACTGGGGAATTGACTTTTAGTTCATGACGTATGACTCAAAATCTCCACCCATTTCATGGAATGTTATTCTTTGAACTTTGTTCCTTAAGCAAGTGTCAGTCTTAAAATTTGAGCTGTGAATTAATATGTTATTTTTGCTTATTGATTTTCTCCTTTTATGGATCACATCCAAAGAAACATTTCAAAATTGCTTTCTCATATAATTTAGCCTTTACTTTTTCTTGTCTTTTTACTTTTGAATTCAAAGAATTATCTTTAAGTATTATAGAATGAATGAGAATACAGATCAAAAAAAGGAGAGAGAGAAAAAAAGAATAGAAATAGAATTGAAAATTGCTAAGAGAGTAGATTTTTAAGTGTTTTAACTACACACACGCAAAGATAAGTATATGAGGTAATGCTTACATTAGCTTGATTTAGCCGTTCCTCAGTGTATCAAATATACATAACATCATGTTATATTTATCAAAATACCAGCCTAGATTGGTCGCTCATGCCTGTAATGCCAGCATTTTGGGAGGCCAACATGGAAAGATTGCTTAAGGCCAGGAGTTTAAGACCAGCCTGGGCAATATAGCAAGATCCCATTTCTACAGAAATTGAAAAGAAGATCATTTTGTGTACCATAAATATTTATACTTTTTATTTGTCAATTAAAAAATGAAGAAAGAAATAGAATTATATTCATTGAATAGAATTGATCGAGTGTGGAGAGCATTATCAATATTCTTTCTACACCCTGCCCTGAAGCATCTTGGCTGTCCCTCCTTTATGGTCTTCCTCTCATTGCCTTAAGCTAGCACTGGCCAGCTGTTTGGTCTGCCTTTGGATACTGTTTCTAAACTTGTGTGTTTAGTATTCTTTTAAAGGAAAAAAAAAATTAATGGACTCTAGTATAGGTGTAATTATTTGTGATAGTTATATATACGAGCATGAAACTATAATTCTATGCTTAAAACATTCATACAATCTTAAAAGCAAATTAGTTTACGAAGTAAATATAATCAATATTGTGAAATTAATGCAAAACTTGTCAACTGCATTTGATTAATCTAATGGATGAGGTTGCTTTGCTGAAAATAATTTTCCTCTCACAGAGAGACTGCTGATATCTTACGTGTTGTTGATTCATTTTCTCACTACTTTTCTTAGTTGAAACTACTAGTGTTCAAAATATTCTTGCCCTGATGAGGGCCTTTCCACTCTTGCAAGCTTTATTTATTTATTGGTCATATTGCCTCTGTCTGGAAGCAGTAGTTCCTGGCACTAGTGATCCATGACCTGAAAAAGGAGGGCACCGATCTGAATGGTTGATTGCTTGTATGTTGATGATGTAGAATATGCAGTTAATTATGACATTAGCAAGAGGGAAACACAATTTCTTAGAGGTATCAACCCTTAGTGTCCGCAGACCTCAGTTTGAAGTCTGCTATGACACACTTGTAATCTGAGGATTAAGTAGATGTTTATAGTAAAAGAAAACCCTAAGTGCAAAGACCACACTGAAATGTGAAGGACCCCCACCTTCCATTTGCTGTGTTTCACAAACTCACCTTATCCTTTTTTCACTCAGTTTGTCACTTTTAAGATAGCCTCTATTTTGTGTGTATGTTCAAGGCCCACTTTGTTACCAGAATTTTTGGTGACA